ATTCATTTTTGTAGCTTCAAGCACCAAGGTCTGTGTGTCATTTCCTTTGAGCACTGGCTTCGAAAACTTGTATCTTCCCTACATGTGTTTTTAAAGCAGTACAGTTATTTGCAAAAATAAAAGAGAAATAGTCTTTACAGAGCAAAACTGTATGTTTCAGCAGAGGAGCAAGAGTGAGACTAGCCAGGGAAATTTCATCAGGCAGCACCTTTCAACCTGAATTTATGTCATGTTCAAATATGAAATTATTCAACTATTCCACCAAAAGGGGCAACAGGGGGATCTATACGATGAACAGCTCCCATTTGGCATTGCAGTGTGTGTGATCATTCAGCTGGTTTAGTGTCAGATAATATAAATACTTTTCTATTTTGCATCAAATGTATCAGACAAATCATCACAGTCAGATTAGAAGAGAAGTAACTCGGGAGAAAATGAAAGTTCTCATTACGTTCTTAAATGCTTTCATGAGATTGAATAACAGGAGACCATATCAGACCAGAGAGGAAATAAAATTTTGATCTTTTTAAGACTGATTTTTTTTTTCTTAATCATTAAGTTGTTGGTTAGTTTCATTATGCGTTTGCTTACAGGCTTTTCACAAATCTTGAAGAGCTAAACACTTGACTTATGTTGAATCTTAATGCAAGAGCCAAACTGCTTTAAACTTACTTGAAAATCTCAAGACAGCCTACAAAATGTTACTGTTTCTTCTGTGCGCTCTCTTAAACTTGGTATGCAGGGTAGTCCCACTACCTTAAGGCAGAATAAGTACTAATAAGTCCATCCATTCAACTGTAACAAAATGTATGGGTATCCTTACATCTGCCCCTCTCAATACTGTGTACCAAATCTGTGTTTCCCCTTGGCAGGAAGACCAAGATCTGTCAATAAAATGCCTCAATGCATCAATGTGGAAAAAAGTAAAGATAGCAACTAAAGCTTGATTACAATCTCCTGCAATGATCTCAGAATTGATAGTTCATAGAGAATACTAGTAATGTAACTTTAAGCACTGGGATTCTTAAATGACAGTACTTCTTTGTAGGTACACCCAAGAGAAGCCAAGTCCTCGACCTTTCCATAAAGCAGAATATCTTGACACTGTATTAAGCATTACAAAATAATTATTGTGGAATCCCTTGGTCAGCATTTTATCAGCAGTGGAGTCTTGCTGCTGAGAGACTGAAATAACTGGATATATCCATTTATCAATGATAATGTTTTCCCTTTTTTCCAGCCTGGATTCCATCTTAAGGACATTTGTTTTATTACTAAAAACAATATTAGACTCATAAATGTGAGTGCTGTGGTGCAATGGGTGACTTTTCAAGATTTATCAAAGCAGGATAATTAAGATGAACAATAAGACTGAGTTTCTTGGTAGCAACTACTGTCACAGGACGACTCTGGTTTATGCAGCAGTAATCCACCTTGAAGTATAGGCTAGGAACTGCAAGAAGAGGATTTACATGGCCTCCTGATCTGTGAGTCTCTGTGCCACAGATTTTGTTGAGGGCAATACCAGTGAAATCATGACAGGAGCTGATGCTTGTGTTAACACCATGACTTAATTTTAAAAGCAAGCAGTCAAAAATTGCTGGGGTGTGTGGTGTGTAAGAGAGGTCTGTTTTGCTTTTCAACAAGCTGTAGCTGCTGAAATATTTGGCTGTTAGACACCAAGTTTTTCAAGGAAGGACTTGTAGTGGAACAGAGAAATGTCACATTCAGCTTTTGAAAAGCTAGTGTCTGCTGCATTACTATGCGAGACTTGTGCTTTGAGAGACTTAGTCAAAATTTTTCAAACTGTGCTGACCACACTTAAAATTAACATGGTTTTACCTGAAACCCAAGAATTATCCTAGAAATTTGCCCTTTATTGTTTTACTTCCAGAAATTAGATGCCACTCAGTCTGTCACAGATGTTGCCATATTCTACCAGCCAATTCCTCTGTGCATTATTATCCATCATTTACTCCACTGCCAGTTTCTGGATAAGTTACAGGCATTACCCAGTGCACATTGTTTTAACATCCTCAGTACCAATGCCTGAACTCATCCCAGGTTTACAGATACTATGTTATCCTCCGGATTCTGTGCTGTGACTGTTACCAATCTCTTCAATTACTTTTTTCTGTGCGTTTAGTCTGTCTAGATTTCTCTTCTTTTTTTGATTTTTCTACTGTGAGCAAGAACTTCCTCAGCTGTACTCAGAAATGCTATGTATTTATTCCATCACAGAAATACTATTTGTGATTTGTCAGAGATAGCTTAGAAATGGTTTTGATTCTCTAGCAGCTTTTCTGTTTTGGAGAGGAGCCTCAATATGCTTCTATCTAGCATATACTTTTCCTGGTAGGACAAATCCATGTTCTGTTTGACAAAATACAGCCATGTGGTTAAGAGTTATTAAAAGCATTAAAGCATTAACCTCTTGTAACCTCATTTTTCACTTTGTACACATACATAAGTGTTTAATCGAATTGAAGTTAAACACTAAAAAGTTTGAGAGGCCAAATTTATACATTCTCTTTAGTTTATACAGAATTGATGTGATAAGCCAAAGGAATTATAAGACACCACTACTCAGAAAATGCTCATCTGTTGATTTGTTTAAGCTCTCTTGCTACATACTAGAAGTTTTGGTGACAAGCATTCCCAGCATTTAAATCGAGGAGCTTTGTCCTACTGGGATCCGATCTGTGTCCTGGCGCCACAATAGCTTATTCTGCTGTCCTTTGGAAGTTGAACAAATGATTTTGTGTCAAAAGATCTGCTGGTGAGGGGGTGAGCCACATCCTTGAGTGAGAACACAAGACTAAGTGCTGTGTGGCAGTAGTACCATAGACTCCCATGTTCTTCTCATTCTGCAGTTTTATTTCAAGCAGCCAGACTCCCACAGAGGGACTGCACTGATCCTGAAATGAAAGTCTGATACAGTAGTGCTGGCCCTCGTTTCCTTCACTTGTCTCCACTTGGCATGAAAGGCCAGGATGTCATCTCTGAAGCCAGTGAAAAGTGAGTATTAAATCATAAGAATAAACACAAGAAACAGAACGGGCCAGGGATTCATACATACAATCCAGGTGCAGCTCCTGCTGAGGTGTAATGTTCCTTCATGCTGCACAGCTTGTTCCTTTAGCCAGCTTCCTAGTAGATGTGAATTGGCATTTCCAGTGCTGCGTTTCTAAATGGCTCATTGAGTGCCTCCCTGCTGTAAAGGTGAATTAAGTGGAACCTTCGAGATTGCATGTTTGATTTCACAGAACCTCCTAATGTTGAATAAGGTGAAAAACAGGAAGATACTGAAATGGACACATACATAATTTCATGTAGCTGTGTCAGGCCTGCTTCTGGGTGGCTGCTCAAAGATTCTGCAGAAATTGATTTACTGGCAGAGGCTTTAAAGGCAGCCATACAGTTGGGAGTATAAGCAGAGAGAAGCAACAGTACGTGCTGAACTGCACAGGTAGGGTCATTTGAGGATATAATAGTGGGGACAGATGGTGGAACATGGGAAACAAGCATTGCCTACAACTTAGGAATGTCATATCTATCTTAGGACATGGCAGTCTTTTGACAACTTGTTCCATAACCAGAAAGGCAAAGACAGTAATATTTGTCAGTTTTCCAAATGTTCATGAATACCCATTATGAAAAAGGAATTCTGATAACGAGCTGTCTTAACTTTTTAGTATTCTCTAATAAAAATAAGGATGGACCAGAAGGTAAAACATGCTATAATGCATGGCCTAGCTAGTTGCACGTTACTATAAAGCAGCATTACATTTCCCAGATTTGCAAAATAGATCTCATACTTTACTAATTAATTTGATTCTGATTACCCCAAATGCAGCTGCTTATTCTCTTACGGACTGTATGTTTTGAAATTGTTTCTTCTATGAAATTATCTTATTCAGCACTTCTGCACTAGGCTTGATTATCCCTGGGATCATAAACTTTTATCTGATAAAGCATCCTAGATTTTTCTTATGTGTCTGAATGGGGATTTAAAGATGACAAGTCAAAGGCAGTCCTGTTAAAACATTACTGCTGAAAACATTACTAATAAAGTTGGTAATATTAAATAAAAAAAGCTTTGTGGCACAAAGTTAAGCAAACCATCGAGGACATCACAGATCACTAACAGTAGCTTTAGTTAGCAAGTAAATATCAAAGAAGCAAGTCAGCATTACAAAGCTTGTTATTTTAACTTGAGTAGAGGATGTTTACTGTTAAAAGGGACAAACAAGAGTATTAGATAAGATGACAGCTCAACAGATCTCAGCCCAGAATTTATCACACGCTGTTTAAGGGAGTATTTAAAAAGATAAACAGAACCCCCTCAGGTCAAGGATATATGCCCTTCTGCAAATAGACTACACAGAGCAGCATTCATTTGAACCAGAGGCTTTCCACTTGGGTTTTCTTTGGGAGCGCCATGTCTTGAAACACGTTTGAGTAACCACGTGTGAACAGGAACCTTTGTGTGCGTACAAGAGCTCTGCTACGGGGAAAACGCGCAGCATTAGGCTTCTGTACCTGAAAGCACGCTGCACGGGTGAGGGCGGTAACGGGACGTGTATTGCTTTGTAACGCTGTTTCCCTAGCGAGGTTGGAGTTCCCTGCCCCCAAAAGCCACCCATCAACAAAAAAACAGCGCGAGGGCGGCTGCGCTGCCGGGAGCCCTGCCGGCCGCGGGCCCCGGGGGTGGGTCGGGCCCCGGTCGGTCGGGCCCCGGCCGGGCGGCGCTGGCGCGCTCGCGCCGCCAGGCGGCCCCTCAGCCACCGCGCGCCATCCGGGCGGGGCTCGAGCGCCGGGCCCGCGCCTGCGCAAGGGCGGCGCGAGCGCAGCGGCCGGAAGGGGGAGGGGCGTGCGCGGGCTCGCGGCGGCGGTGCGGAGCCGAGCCGAGCCGAGCCGAGCCGAGCCGAGCCGAGCCGAGCCGAGCCGAGCCGAGCCGAGCCGAGCCGAGCCGAGCCGAGCCGAGCCGAGCCGAGCCGAGCCGAGCCGAGCCGAGCCGAGCCGAGCCGAGCCGAGCCGAGCCGAGCCGAGCCGAGCCTCCGGGCATGGGGCCGGCGCGGAGGTGAGGAGCGCTGTTCGCCCCTGCGCCTGCCATGACCTGCACCATTGAGAAGATCCTTACGGACGCGAAGACGCTGCTGGAGCGGCTGAAGGAGCACGACACCGCCGCCGAGTCGCTCATCGACCAGTCCGCCGTCCTGCACCAGCGCGTGACCGCCATGAGAGAGGCGGGCGCGGCGTGGGCCGAGAAGGTGGGAGCGGGCGGCGGCGGTCGGGCGGGCGGCGGGACGGGCAGGCCGGACCGACAGCCGTGTCTCAGCAGGGCCCGGGCGCCGCGGCGGAGCGGAACGACTCGCCTCGGCTGCGGCCACACCTGCTCCTGTCCCAGGAGAACACGCAGATCCGCGACCTGCAGCAGGAGAACAGGGGTGAGCCGGGCGGCTGCGGGGGGCGCGCTGCGGGGAGCCGGGGTCGGTGTCGGGGGGCCGCGGACTCTGTGCTGGTGGCGCGCTGGGGCAGCGCTGGGGGGCTGGCAGGTGATGTGCGGCGGGGCCCCCGGGGGGCGAGCTGGGGCAGCGTGCTGAGGGAGGCTGCGAGCTTGGCCCGGGCGGGGGGGGGGGGGGGCTTGTCTTGTCGAATGGACCGGGGCGCGCACCTGTTTTGCTTTCTGTCAGGGTCTCTGTGTGCCTCGGGGTGGAAGCGACTGCCAGCGTCAGGGTGGCTTTTTGGGTAGCCGAGGGGTCCGGACGGCCAGCTGCCCCGGCTGGAGACCCAGGGCTGCGCTGTTGAGGGGGGTAACACAAATCGAGTGAGCAGCTGGTACCGGGTCCCTCTGGGCATCTGCTGTCATTGCTCTGAAAAACGGCTTGTAGCTTGTGGCAATTACATACTGTATTTTGCAGAGCTATGGATCTCACTGGAGGAGCATCAAGATGCGCTAGAGCTTATCATGAGCAAATACAGAAAGCAGATGTTGCAGCTTTTGCAAGGGAGAAAAGGTGAAGATGCAGAACCAGCTTTGAATGTTCATCAGTCTAATTCTTTGGTAAGATGGGATGGGGACAGAAGAGGGCTCAAGACCCTGTTCCCTGTCTCTTGCTTGCTTTCATGCAGCCTTTTTTTTCTATTCATGGAACGTCTTTGCTTCAAAATACATTTTCTGAAACTCTTGTCTCTCTTTGCTAGTATTTTTTTCTCTATTCCTTTTACAGCACACAGGTTGTAACAGTTACCACAGAGGACACTGAAAAACATAACCCTTTCATGGCCCGGGTGAAGGCTTGTTCTTTGTGCACTAGGTGGTGAATTCCCTGGGTTAAACTCAATGCACGTGATTCTCTACAATAAAATCCAAGAATTCAGAGCTACTATTGTTCCTGTTCAGTAATTGTAGCACAGGGAGAAGAACCTCCTAAATCTCTTTAATTCTTAAGAAATCATCACTTCCAAATGTTTTTAAACCCAGATATTCTGTGCAGTGGCCTAAAAGTGTGCCTTTGTCCACGTTGGGTGCGGTGACTTCAGAACTGTAAGGTGTGGCTACCAATAACTGCTGCCTGTTTAACGTTTCAGTGTCTAATAACAATATAATATTAAATGTCTATTTAAGGCATCTGTTAGAATGCATTTTTTATGTGAGCAACAAGCTGGTTCTACCTAGTGACATCTCATACCTTGTGGGTTTTTTAATTGGAATTGGAGCCAGCCTAACTCTTTGCACATATATCTTTGCACTGATATGTGGCAACTCATTAATTCTCTGTTTTATGTCGCTTAGGTCCTCTGAAATTAAGTAATATAGCAGTGTCTTGCTTCCAGTGCTTGTTTAGGTGCATGAATTGCTCTGTTTATAAAGACTTAACATTTGAGCAAAACTTCCAACATTATTCCCTGGCACTGCTTTTGCTCCATTTTAATGGCATGGAAATGCAAAGCTGAAAAGACTGGAGGAACCTTTGACAGAATGTACCTAGACAATCTCATTATCTAGGCAAAGTCTTCTGTACTTCAGATTAAGTCCATGAGCTTTTTCCTACCCACCACTTGGAGAATAGTAGCAGCCTTTTAATATCTTTAAAGAAGCTATATTCTTACTATAACCATCATTCTGTTTAGAAAAAAAACCATTGTTCTTTCTGCCCAGATTAAGTTATCTAAGTCTTTTTTGTCCCTCCAGATCTTCTAGATGCTCTAAATTGTTTACGTATTCTCTGAATAATGTAACTCAAAACTGAATTATCTGCTCTGGTGATACATTTATTGGAATAACTACTGTCATGTAGAGAAAAGAAACTCCACCCTGTAACATTATCTGATATTCACCAAAGTGCTTTGTGATAGCCGTATGTTTTTATGTCATGTTAAAGTGCTTCAGAAGTTTCCAAATGCTTACCTTGCTACTTCTTGCTAATTACTGACGTTTTTGTGTTTACGCATTTGAGTTACTCTCTAAATGCTGTATGTTGAAATGGAATGTTCTTCAAAAAGGAACTGTTATTACCGTACATGTTGGAATTTTTCAGTATTCAGCATATATACATTACTGAGATTCAGCAAAATGCATCTTCCAAAGGATTAGAGCTATATCTAGACAGATTCTGTAAAAACTGCCTCAGGAGGCTCTGCTCTTACTCTTTTTAGTTCCTTGCTTGGCATCCTTCTGAGATGAGGCTGTTTACTTCACGCTGTTACTGAGTGTTGAAGTCTCATTTGCTTTTATATTTGGCGTTCTTATAAATTCAGAGTCAGGCTTTTCTAATAAAGCAATCTAAAATTTGCTGCATACTAACCATATTCCCATGAATCCAAATCTGTTGTCTCAGTCCTTGTCACACTTGACATTATTTCCGTATTAGTGTGTAAGAGTGCCTTATCTTGGTGATGGATGTAATTCTATTCACTGTTTTCATTGATGACTCATGGTAATGGACAATAAGATAGGTGTTTTCATATTTAAATATTATACAAGTTAGAAAGGATTGAAATACAAAACAGGAAAATAATCCAGAATCAAGAAAATGAAAGTAACTGATTTAGAAGGGATAAATGACTACTGCTGCTTTTGCCTGAAGTTATTGAATATATTATTTTATGTCTTTCAGGAAATTGAAAGTCAAATAGACAGAATATGTGAGATGGGAGAGGTGATGAGAAAAGCTGTTCAAGTTGATGATGATCAATTCTTTAAAGTTCAGGAGAAACTAGCTCAGTTGGAGGTAAGAACAGGTAAAATTGCTAAGGATAGATGTAGCTTTGGGAGTCTCGAGACTTACTCTGGACTTTCTGTATTTGTATATGTCAAGGATTTATAATGTTCAAAAATTTGGGGGTGGGCTCAGGAAATGCAGAAGGTTACCTGCTTATTTTCAAGTTCTTGTTGTTTGTATGATACATATGAAACCATAAACAAAAGATAAGCTTTAAATGACATGGTTCTTTTGCTAGCACTGTATTAATGCTTATGTTACAAAATCAGCATTTTATTTAGCTGTGAAGGAGTTGGGGCTATTTAAACATTATCTCATCCTTTAATTGTGAATTAGCTCATTTCTATTTCAGTAAAAATATTGATTTTGCAGCTTGAAAACAAAGAGCTGCGTGAACTTTTGTCAATCAGCACAGAATCTTTTGAGGTGGGGAGAGAAGATCTGCCTGACTGTGAAGCTTAGGTCACAAAATAACCTTATCTCCAAATCTTGACTTCAGAGACTGTTATGAAACTACCCTACAAGGATGGGTTTTGATTTGTTCTTTCAGGTGTTTCCTTGTATGTTTGTTTTATCTTTCAAAAATGTGTGGCCTGTTTTCTCTGCATTTTTCTGAAATTACATACTGTTAATGGCAAAGACTTGCATTGCTGCTCCGTTTTAGTAATTGCAGCATATAGATGCTTAGCAATGAAGTATTTGATGTGTATTCCCTTGTGATAGTTTATTTCCTCTCCTGTTTGTTATTTTTTACGAGCTCTAGTTAATACTGCCAGCTGTGCAGATGACACTTAAATCCACCTTGTCAGCAGCTAGAGAACATAATGCAGGTTGTGATTATTTTATTTGATAGAAGGAATAAGAGATTATTCAGAAACTACATTGTAAATAGTAAGTACCCGTTTTGCTCTGCCTGCTCAAAGCAGGCATTCAGAGCTTTTGCTTTGAAGAGCCAGCACTCGGAATTTGAATTGTTACTGGGACGACTGCTTAGAAACAGATCAAGAGGAGGGCAGGTAGCCGACAGAGCACTTCAAGTAGTAACTGGTGTAAGGAGCACATTTTACCTTGATTTTAGGGGTGAAAATCAGAGTGGGTGACCCTTTCTGACACCTGTGCAGTTTTGAAGGACATTGCCTATCTGACTAAATTTTTTTTTTATGGGTAGACCTGTTCCGGCTTTACCAATGCTCCAAGGTATGTGGATACTGGCTAGCTCTGATCTGAAGGCGGTGCGCTCAAACCCTGAACAGAACACAGAACTTTCAGATCAAAGCTCTTTGGCCTCCCACCACTTTGGACTTCAGGAAGAGTGAGCTGAGGTCTGCCTCAAAAGTAAACCAAAACCAACCATGTAGACAGGTTTTTAATGTTACATCCCAGGTAAGTCTAGTGACAGATGTTACGAAGTTATTGCAGATTCCGATACTGAGTGAAATTAAGAGTTGCAGTGTTGTAAGAATTTATTGATATTGTGGTATTTTTAATGACATTTTTATATAAATATTTCTGTCTTTCTGTCTGGAGGATCGAAGAATATTCCCCCAAGAACAATAAACATCTCATTTCCAATATTAGTTCCAACTTGTATGCTGCTTTTTCTGAAGTGAGAGTTTTGATAGATGCAGAAGGTGATTTATGTTCCTGTGCTTATGAAGACACATTTTCTTGCAACCGCTTGGAATATCCAGCAAAACCATGTGGCAGATATAAAGGATTTCTGTACAGGAGTATTCTTGTATACAGTCCTTTTCTATTAGAAATTGTTTAAGAGGGAATAAAAACCCCCAGTGGGCAGTATTTTCTCAAGTGTATTCTGTCGTGTGAATCCTGTGGATAATTCCATCTGTTCTGCATGTACCCAAGCCTTTTGCACCCCCTCTAATTTTTACCTGGCCTAAACGAAATATTACTATGACTAAAACTGTTGCATTTTACCTGTTTTAAAATAACATAATCTGTAATGCCTCTGATGCATTTTTACCTTTGTTATCCTGGAGTTGGTTAACATTGCTCTAATGGGTTAGCGGCTGCGCACCCTGAAAAGATGGAAACTAAAACCAGCTGCTTTGACTAATGAGCTTATTATTAGTTAGTACTGGGCCCTGATTAGCAGGGGAAGTTTAAACGTGTTCCACTTGCTCCTGTCCTGTTCTGGATCCGTGAGCGTGGAGCCCGTGACGGAACGTCTGGGCTGTGCGGCAGCAGCTGCTGCTGAGCCGGGCCTCCCCCGCGTTGCGGTGAGCGCGGGCCCCGCCGCGCTCCCGAAGCCGCCGTTACCGCTCCCCCGTCAGCGGGGGGGGCGCGGCCCGGTCCCGGTCCCGGCGCGGTGCCGTGCCGCGCCTCCGAGGGGCGGCGCATGCGCACTGCGCCGCCGCTGGCGCGCGGGCGCGGCCCCGCCCCGCGCTCTCGCGAGAGGCCGGGATTTATTCCTACGTGCTGTGCCGTGCTGCTCATGGCGGCGCTGGAGCGGGGGCGCTGAGCTGTTGGGGTGAGTACGGGCCTCGGCGGCGCCCGCGCCGGGCGGCGGCACCGCGGCCGCCCCGGGCCGGCGAGGGAGGCGGAGGGTGCCTCCGGGCCCGCCTCCCGCTTGTCTCTGGTCGCAGACACGCCGGCGGGGTGAAGGTGCCCGCAGCCTCCTCTCAGCCGCGCGGCGGGCGGGGGCCGGGCGCGGGGGGGAGGGGTGAGCCGCGGGCGGGGGCCGGCCCAGTGAGCCGCCGCTCCTGGGGATGGAGCCCCGCCGGCCGCGGGCGCCTGGGCCGCGGCGGCGTGCGCACTACGCTTCCCGGCGTCCCGCGGGAAGACGCCCTGCCGCCGGGCCTCTCGGGGGCCGGAGTCCCGCCCGCCCGCGGAGGCGGGGCCGCGGTGGCGCCGGAACTCGCCTTCCCGGCGGGCTGCGCGGCCCGGCGGGCTGCGGGGTCTGCCGGGGCCGACGGGCCGCGGGGCGCGGGGCGGGGCCGGGGCCGGGGCCGGGGCCGGGGGGGCGGCGGGGCGCGGCCGCGGGGGCTCCTCGGCGCGGGGCGGCGGCGGGCCGCGGCTCCCGGCGTGCTGCGCGCGCGGCCCCGCCCGCGGCTGGGCCGGGGACCCGTCCCTTTGTGTGCGGGGGAGCGGCCGCCATCGCCCCCCTTTGTGTGCGGGGCCGGCGGCGGGGCGGCCCCTCCCTCGCCCGGCCGCGGCCCTCGCCCGGCCTTTGCGCTGTCATAGCGCGGGCCGCCGCCACCCGCGCACGGCGGCCGCCGCTCGGCCGGGGCTCCCGGCGCCGCCCCTCGGCGCGGCCGCGGCCCCGCTCCGCGGCCACCATCTTGCTGCAGCGCAGCGAGCGGGGCCGCCGGGAGGGCCGCGGCGGGCCCGAGTCCGGCCGGCCTCGAATTTTCTGTTGTCTGGGTTAAGAACAGGCACTGGCCTTTCCCTCGAGCTCCATTCCCTTTAACGGAAAACAGATTTTTGGTTTTATTTTTTAAGAATTAATCTGCGTATATAAATGCTTTTACAGATGTCCTTGGAAGTTCTTTAACTCCCTCGCATCCCGCCCTGTCCCCTGTATGTATTTTCATGTAAAAGTGACTTCACTAACCTAGTGAATGTTGGTCGCTGATCTCATAGTGTATTGGTTGGTGTGCTTGCAAGCTAGTGTTCAGTATTGTTTTCTGACACTTATCTGAAAAGATATGGAATAGCTTTATCTTCACGTATCCAATAGCTGTGTTGTGTGTGCATTTTGAAAATACTAGGTTTGATCTTAGTCATGCAAGAGATGGCTATTTCTAGAAGCACATGTTCTAATATAGTAAATTACACGTTCTTGCAGTTACTTCTTTTTGTAAAGAAAACGGGAAACAAAACAGTGTTTGTAATTCATCAGGTTCTACTGTTAGGTTCTGTAGATGGCTTCTAGCTGTGAACAGCTTTTTGACTTGCAAATCTGCACCTGAAAGACTTCGAGAACAGGGCTTGTACAGCTCTTTCCTGTCTTTGCATTAATCCTTTCAGCTGTAAATATACAAATACCCAGTGTGACTTGGGGGCTGGGCAGCTGCTTAGGGTGTTTACCATTTGGAGAAGTATTTATAGCAGCTGAATTAAAAAGTAAAGAATTTGAGACAGACACACATGGTGTGATGATTTTTTTTTTTTTTCACTTGAGTTATGCTTGCTTGACAACCTTATTTTTTTTTATTTTTTTTTTAATAAGTGTAGTAAACCAATCTTGTTATCAAATCAAACTGGCTTTTAAGGGAAAAACTTACGCCTTTTTTCATTACCTGACAAAATTAGCTTTAGTCATATTTGGGCAGAAGTGTTTTGATTATTCCATGAAAATGCTTTGAAATTCTGTGGAAATACTCTGTGCCCAGAAAAATGAGCAATGTAATATGATACAAGTTAGGGCTCTAGTAGAGCTCTAATAATATTAGTCTAATTAGATGACAGAGAAGTGCATGAATAAAAAGATTCTGAGTGTCTCTGTGCAGTTTCTGTGATACAGTGTTTGCCAGTTTTATTTTTCCTGAACTTGGTTGGGGGGGATGCTCATTTGAGATTTGAAATGCTATTCAAAAAAACAGTATTATCTTGAAAGAGATTGTGGTAACAGTTGCCTGACTCTAGTACAGGGGTATGTGAAAAGTCTAAGGATCCTGTTATTTTGCAGTAGCTTAGTGTCTTCTGATTTATATGTTTTGTAATTGAATCTTTCGCTGCAAACCTTTTGTACCAGATATTGCTTTCTACTGCCCTCATCTAATTTCTTCTCTAGTCTCATTCATGTATGTGTAATGGTCTGACAGGAAAGCTTATTTCAGCTGAAAATTTTTCAGAGTGGTGACTAAAGGAAGATGCTTCATCTGGAGGAGAGGTCATTGAAATACAAACTTCTGTGAAAACTAGGTGTTGAGTTTGCATACAGCCATCGTGTGCTTTTGTGGTTTAGAGTTCTTATTTATAATAGCTGACTGCAGACAGCGTTTTCACTGTGATGAGTTACATGTCTTTGCATTTATGTTTCAGTCACTTAAGTTGACTCTCTTAAGTTCACTGAGTGTGAATTGTGAAATTCACATTCTTGCTACAGTGAAGAAAGAGGTTTTGTCTATATTTGATGTGGGACTTGTGAAATTACTTGGAAGAGTTGTACTCTGATGCCTCATACCTTTAGATTACTGCATAACATGCTAGTTTATGTATAGACTCATAACTGTTGCTTCTTAGCAGCTTTGCCCACAAATATCCTCCCTCTTTTTTTTTCTATAACTACTGAGTAAACAACAAACTCCAATTAAAACTTGATCTTATTTCTTTTCAAAAAAAGCTTCTGTTTCTATAAGGTTTCAATTTTATGTGGTAGGTGGCAGTTGGTTTAAACCACTTTCTTATGAAAACACAAAAGTGGTACTGGAAAACTTTAGGAGAGAACTATTATCTAGTTACTCTTGCAGATACGCTTTTCTGTTATGTTATCTACACAGATATTGCCAATATATAATCAACATTTTGTGAACACTTAAGTCCAGAAAATGGGTCTGCAGTTATTTTTGTGTTATGCCAGGGTGTGTACAGTCTGTGTAGAGCATCGGTATGTATAATTGAGAAGTTTTGTTTATTTTTATACAATGCTAAAGGTGTTTCGGTATTGCTAGTCCTTGACTTTTTGGAACAAAAATTATTAGGGAATTCTAATTCCCACACCTGTGTACACCTTATTGCTACTCTGAAGCTCTGTGCAAGCACTTACTAAATCGTGAGACAGCACCCATATGAAGTTATTGATAGGAGGACTAAGACTTGCATTAAATGATGCTGCTATTCATCAGAATGAAGTTGCTGTTGTAATTGTACAAACTGGGACCTTTTCTGAAATGCTTAACTGCATGTGGGGAGTTCAAAATTGGAAATAACGTATCACTGGCTTTGAGGTGGAGTTTTTTGGAAAATAAAACTGGAAATTGGAATGCCAAATACATCTGTAAAAGTATTTCCTAGCATGGATCAAACCTACAGTATTAAGGTAGAGAAAATGCACCCATCTGTAGGAACACCTAGGACTGATGTAGAATTACTTTTCAAGTGATACTTAGTATGTGTCTTTTTCCTTTCTTCCAGTATGAAGTGGAACAGAACAGAACTTACCACCTGAAACTGCTGCTTCAAGTTCAGATCAGGAAAAGAATATACCACATCGTAACAACAACTCAAGACCAAAGAAGAGAAAACTTACACTGAAGATACAAGGCTTGATCTGAAACAAGAAGTTTGTGCCTACTCAACAGCTTCAAAAGAGCACGTCCCAACGCTGCTAGTAGTCTTCGTTTTCTCCAGTGCTGTATTGAAACTGCCCAGGGCAGCAGCACTTGCATTCTCTATTAGCTTGATAGATCACATTCTCTTGCTATCTTTTTTCCTTCTCTTTCTCTTTCTTTCTTCTTCTTTTTTTTTTTTTTTTTTTTTTTTTTTTAATAATAGCAGTCTTCATTCTTGGAAACTTGTGCTGAAACAGAAGAATCAGCTAATACTACTGAAAGTGCAATATTTGAATATCACTGCGAGGTTGGTGCATGTGCTATATCGAGTTATATATTTCTAAACTTAATAGGAAACAAGCTGTCAACAGAGGAGTGTGGTTTTTGTTAGGTTTCTTTTTTTAGCAGTTCTTTGTTCTTATGTTGGTTTAGTAGTAGTATGATGAATTAATAGTAATATGATGAATGGTGCAATATGGTTCTCTTTGACAATACTTACAACTGTAGAGAGCTGGTTATTAATGTTTCTGTCTTCTAGTAACAGTAGTGTTGTGGTTCCAATCCATTTTTTTT